TGGATCATTTGTGTCCTTATTCCCCTACCTCTTTTTCTTTTTCCTTTTCCTTTTCCTTAGAGCAGTGGTTCTCAACCTGTGGGTCAAGACCCCTTTGGCAGTCTAACGACCCTTTCACAGGGGTCGCCTAAGACCATCCTGCATATCAGATATTTACATTACGATTCATAACAGTAGCAACATTACAGTTATGAAGTAGCAACGGAAATAATTTTATGCTTGGGTCACAACATGAGGAACTGTATTTAAAGGGCCAGAAGGTTGAGAACCACTGGTCTAGCACATTAGAGCCCATGCCTGAAAAGATATTGCAATTTCTATTTTCAGTTGTCTAGAGCCCAGTTACTGTCTTAAAAAATGAAACAGAGAGAGAGAAAGAATACATAGTGGATAAACAGCTGAATCTAATCACTAAGGCTTAAATTTGTGAGTGATGACTTAATATTGCAATTTCTATTTTCAGTTGTCGAGAGCCCAGTCACTGTCTTAAAAAATAAGACAGAGAGAGAAAAAGAGAAAGAGTATATAGTGCATAAACAGCTGAATCCAATCACTAAGGCTTAAATTTGTGAGTGATGACTTAAATCTGTGAGTGAAGACATTTGGATCCTCAGTCCCTGCCCAAATATAGCAGTTGGTATAACATGGAGATGAGCCATTTCACAGAATCTTGACCACATCTCTAACCCATAGAACCACCAGCACTAATGAGAAAGCTAAAAGGCTAATTCCAATGTAATTCTGATATTTGGGGGGCTAGCAATCGATGGAGATGAGCCATTTCACAAAATCTTGTCCACATTCCTAACCCATAGAACCACCAGCACTAATGAGAAGGCTAAAAGGCTAATTCCAATGTAATTCTGATATTTGGGGGGCTAGCAATATGAACCTGTGTCAGAAGTCTAATGTGCATTATTGATAACCTGTAATTAAGTCATTACCCCTCTCTCCACAAATTGGTCTTGCAAGACCTGTTACCTAAATGCTCAAATTTTACAGAGGCCATAAACCATGAACAGCACACAGTCCCCAGAGGGGGGTTATCAGCACTGGTGCCAGGCCAGGCCTTAGGTATAGTCTCAAGACCCCCAACGCCTGGGGCTTTTTGCAAAGCCTGTGAAAGTTCCCGAAGTATAATCCATATTTGGAGGACAAAGACACCAAAAGGAGATAAAAGAGGGGGCTTCCACCATATTGGTTGGCTCAGAATTCCAGAGGCAACTTCCTCTGAGTCCGCTGGCATAATAAAGCTGTGTAACTCCATTTCTCTAAGCGTTGCTTGGTTTTTCTCCGGTCTTCTACAACACTATCATGATTGTTGTTTTAAGCCACTAAAACTTTGGGGTGATTGTTCATTCAGAGAAACAGATAAATTTATCCACCATGCAAAAGTGGAATTTTACATCACAATTTTATTGTCTGATAAAACTCTTTTGTATGGCTATGCCATTAGAATAAACATTAACCCTCTTCTTATGGATCTTTAAGTTGGGTCATTCCTTTTTCTTTCAACCAGAACTAAATAAGCATAGGTTAAATGTATTTTGCATACTTATCTAATTATCTTTTTAAGATAAAATTTTAAAAATAAATAAGTTGATATATATTGGTTAAATACTTTTCCAAAAGTATGGTACTAATCTAAATTATCATGGGCAATACATGAAAATACTAGTACCAATAAAAATTCAAAATAAAATAATTTTTAAAGAGTACCATAAGGAGGGAAAAGAAATACAGCAAAAGAATATCAGCATTGCTTCTGAGCCACCCAACTGTTATTTAACTATTTGAGAAATATAATTATGGAGTAGGGGCTAATCTTGTAGATTTCTTCCAAATTTCTGAAATTCCTGTAGTTAGCTGTGCATTCCTTCTTCCTTTCCAGAATTTCAAAGTTACACAATAAGCATGAACTATAGTATCTGCAATGCTTCACCTTTGAACCAGCACTGTTTATTTATTCTTCCATCCTTTAACAAATGTTAAGTCACTTACTATGTGCTAGTTTCCATTAATGCAATAGTAATCAAGAAAGACCTAATGCATGCTCTCTTGGAAGATACATTTGGAAAAGACTGGCAAACTGATAAAAACGAATTTAAAAATTACAATTTGCAAAAAAAGTGAGAAAGGCAATAACCAGGGTCCTCTGAATTGATAAGGGGGGAGAGCCTAAAAAGCAGGGGTAGGAGGTCACTCTGGGGAAATGATGTTAAAGCCAAGACCTAAAATATGAACAGTGGCCAGGTACACCAAATCTTGCAAGGTATTTGGCCCTGTCTAAACCTCCACAATGCCCTGGCCAGTGTGCCTCAGTCTTTAGAGCATGGGCCCATGCACCGAAGGGTGGCGAGTTTGATTCCTGGTCAAGAATATGGACTGTACCTGGTTTTCAGGTTCTATCCTCAGCCCCAGCCGGGTCTGTGGGTGAGGCAACCAACCGATGTCCCTCACATCGATATTTCTCTCTCTCTCTCTCTTTCCCGCCCTCTCTCTAAAATTCAATGGGAAAAATATCATTCTGTGAGGATTAACATAAATAAATAAATACGTCCATCCATGCTGGAAGCCACCCTTGCTGCTTGACCCAGTCGCTGCAGGGAAGAAACATCTGCACAGCTTATGTTTCAAGGGACCTGGCATATATGACATACTGTTCTTAATGTGTTTGCTCACCTTCTTGGCGCTATGTATTTTGACCAAGGTCACCTCTCCGAGAAAGATTGTTTCCCCAGGTAGGGATTTTTCTCTGAAGTTAGGGAGGGAATAAAACCCCTCCACTAAGTGCCAGGCGGGCAGTTAATCAGGGTAGGATAATCTCCTTCAGTAATTTCCTTGTAGCCTATCAGTAGAGCAGTGACCTTGGAATAGCCCTGGTAATGGAAACACAGAGATTAACCTAGACAAGATTAAAATCAACAGAACTAGATAGAAACAGGTTGAAATGAAAATGAAACTAGGAACTGTAGAAGATTTCCCAAAACATACCATGCTGTAATTATAGAGGCATGCTTATGGGATCCAATAGTATAAATATAGATGTAACAGGACAATAAAGAGAGAACCCAACCATGCTGATCAACTGAATGCTGCCTCCGTGTCATTCCTTCTTCACCGACTCCGTCCACACCTTTGGGAACCCCTGGACCTGCTAGGGCTGGATCCCAACACATCCATCTATCCATGCATACATAAATACAGAAAAATAAAACATCCACAAAAACATTTTAGTCTATACCCAAATGTCCTTGATAGTTACCCCTGTCCAAAATGTCCAGAGCATATTTGGCCTACACCAAATCCAAAAGTGGTCCTTGACACTTGTCTAAGATGCCCATGCTTAAGAAAACATCCCTGGGTTCAAATAGCCCATAATATTTATTTCTACTTTGGGTTTACAGAATTAATACTTTAAAATATGATCATGTTTTGTTGGTCCAACA